AAATTCTATTAAAAAAAAAAAAAGAAAAGAAAAAAAAAAAAGAAAGAAAGAAATTGAAGGTAGCCTAGTTTTATAGGTTTTATGTCTGTTTTTCTGATTAGCTTATTTTTCTTTTAAAATATTATGGAATAGACCCAGTGACTTAGATTGTGCTTATTTAAAACCAGGGATGCCAGGGAAACTTGTTATGCCATGTGTTGAAAAAACTCTTGTATCCATGTAAGCTTTGTTTTCCCAGATTCATGGTTGGGTAGTTGTTTTGATGTAATTCTATTCATGGTGCTGGACACATTATTCTATATTTGGATGTGGTTTGACATTATTACTAGATAGTTGTTCACTGAGAAGAGAGATCAGGTACATGTTGCTATTAAAATGGCAATTACACTCATGTCCATAAATTAAGGATAATGCAAAATCAGGCAAAGGAAAAGTTAGAAGCAAAACAAATTTGACTTATTTGTAAAGCTTATTTATTAAACAAAAGGTAAAGAGCAAAAACAGATGCTATATGTTTGATATTATTAAAAAAATTAGCGATTTTTTTTCTCCCTGGAGCAAATTACCAAAAAAAAAAAAAAAAAAAAAAAAAAAAACTTATTTACAAAAAACCAATATTACATGGTTGGTTTGATTGTTAATACATTGTATGTCTCCCAGACGATGCAATACAGTCCGTACAACGCCTAGGCATCTGAGTATCAAATTATCGATCTGATCTTGGGGGATATTACATCACTCAAAAAGCAATGCACTCCGAAGTTCCGGTAGACATGTAGAAGGAGGTTGACGGGCTGCAACTCGTCGGCCAAGCATGTCCCACACGTGTTCTACTGGTTCAAGTCTGGTGAGAATGCTGGCCAGTCTGTACGGGTGATATCCTCCGATTGAAGGCATTCGCTTACGATATTTGCACGGTGAGGACTGGCGTTGTCATCCATAAACAAATTGTGTGCCCATGGCACCCCGAAACAAATGTACATGTTGTTCCAGAATGACGTCCCGATAGATATGGCTTGTCATGATTCCAATTTGAACATGAAGGTCAGTTCTGGAACCCAGAATAATTCCACCCCAAACGAGCACTCCTACACCACCGTAACGGTGTCGTTCAATGATGCTTTCTTGGTGGTAACGAATACCTGGAGCTCTCCATATGAAAGTCCGGCGAGAATCAGACTGCAAGCTAAACCTGGACTCGTCGGAAAACATCACACAAGCCCACTGTTGCGGTGTCCACAGTGCATGCTCTCTACTCCAGGCTAACCGCAGGCGACAGTGAGTTGCAGTAAGTGGAACGCATCTGACAGGTCTACGAACATATAAACCAATCTGCCCTAAGCGTCTGTACACGGTCTGCCTTGAAATTGTCGTACCAGTGGCTGAAGAGAGCTGACGAGGCAGGTCTCAGGCTGTGCTCCACCTGTTTGTTTTGGCAGTAACTGCCAAATACCGGTCCTTATTCGGCGCTGTAACTCTGGGGCGACCTGTGCTGTAACGTCTACTCACATTACCATCATCTGGGAATCGTTGCCAAAGGCTGGAGATGACACTCTGGGCAATTCCAAGTTTGTCTGATACTTCCAGTTGGGTACGCCCACATTCCAGACGGCCGATAATTCTACCACGTAAAAAATCATCCAAATGCGTCCTTTGTCGGTTATTGCACTGAAATGCTTATAAAGCCCCTGCGAACTATTTGGTTATTGCACTGAAATGCTTATAAAGTGCCTGCGAACAATTTTACTTCTTTGCCTGTATTCGTTATATATCACTTTCTTACATTCTCGTCATTGTGAAGTACCATCGGTGTCATCTGGTTACTTCCTAAAATTTGCATATGATTCTTGAAGATGTGTGTTGTGATGTTACAGGTGATATTTTAGTATATTTTAGAGTTCGATTTCCGCGTGACTCCGAATTATCCTTAATTTATGGACATGATTGTACTTTCACCAGATTGGATTATGGGATTTTTATCTGTGAGGGATATAGAAAAACAGGGGCTGTGTTTAGATTGTCATATAAATGATTTGAAGGACAGCACTGCATAACATGTGCTACAGGACATTTGCATTTTGCTGTTCGTTATACTGTTTAATATCAGTACAATTAATTATAGCTAGTTTTTTTTTTTAACATTTCATCTGATTTATATCAAATAGCCAAATAATTTCTCCCTAGCATAATTTTTAAATTGTATTATTTATGTTTATTTATAATATTGCTTTATTTTTGCTTATTACCAGTGAAAAATAAATATAAGAGGGTTGCCACGCTACCTGGAAAACCGGGGAAATCGAAAAAAGTCAGGGAATTCGGAAATTGACCAAAAAAATTCAGGGAAAAGTCAGGGAATTTAAGTGTTTTAGTCAAAATCTGGAAAAGTCAGAATTTCATACAACGATCTTGCCAAAAAAGGCGAGTTTTGCGCCGACGTCAGAAGAGATCACTTTTTGGCGAATTGGTGTGTCATTCGGGCAGCTGGCATAGTTTTCGCAGCTCCAATTTGATTGTCTTTAGAAAGGCAAATCAATTCCCGCAACTTTTGGTTTCAGAACCTCGAGAAAAGTGCAGTACGAACTAAAGAAAGTATGTTCCCGTATAAAACAATGGGTTTAATCCTAGTATACGTACCATGAAGGTTAAATAAAAAATGTATTTAAGAAAGAAACCCTCTGCAACAGACGTGGCTTGTTCATTATAGAGGGAAACAGCTGTGCATGTGCAATATTCTGTCGCAAATCTCGAAAACGGTCGAAGTTCGAAGGTCACGTTATAAGAGTTCATAAATGCATCGTTTAAAATTCTTTAAACTCTAGAGGAAAAGAAATATTTTTTGGCGAAGTAAATAATCCGGATTAGTTCTTTGACGGGGGGGCCTAGAAAATCCTTTTAAATTATTGCAAAATCAGAAAAAACGTTCTTGAGAAAACGTTTTCTGATTTTTCGCAGTAATTTAAAAGGATTGCATAGTTTTTTTGTCACCGAACGTTTTTTTCTTACAATTTTTCTCAATATCTTGTAACATCGTGAGAGGGAATTCTGGCCGCCAGGTTCCCGCCAATCGTTGGCAACTTTTCCCTCCGCTTTCTAGCCGCATATAGCCTTCGGTATGGAACCTTTTCTTCTTTACAGAGACTTTGTTAGAACAATCTCCAGATGATCAGTGGATTTGGCGCATTTGATGAGCAGTAAACGGGTCTTTTGTTCTTGCGAAATTTTCAAATTCTGCGAGCGTACCATATTTAATTTTACGCAAAATCTTTTTTTTTTTTTTTTTTTTTTTTTTATAATACTTGTCATTGTGCAGTAAATAAAAAAATAGTAATCAGTCATCTAGCTAACCAGTAATCTAACTATATTCGTAAAAGATCGTGATTATTCTAATCATTTTAAGTAATTATCTTTATTTTTATTATTAATTTAATGTTGCTTCTTCCTAATTTTATTATCATTAGTAATACTATTTCCAAATTCGGAAATTTTCTTAGCATCATCTGAAATTACTTAAGAATATGACATCACGAAATTTCATGCAAATTTGTCCTTAGTATGCTGCGAAATAAATATAAAATACTCAATTAGTAAAAAATACATAATAATTTATTTCGTTCATTAGCTGCAGCAGTCTGCAAAAAAGCTATTTTATTCAGATTGGAGAGTTAATCCAATTCCTGTACCCACCACTCCTTCTCATTCTCTTGTGTTTTCAAGTGTTTTGGTGCCTTTTAAGAGACACCTCACCAAATTAAATTTACCAACTCGAACCTACTTTGAGCATTGCGTGTGATTTATAAGAACGGTGCCTCATGTTGAACGGTTATATCAGAGTAATAATTAATAAAACAACCATGTTATCCATGGATAATCTTAATTTATCAAGTTTCTAAGTGGAAAAAACAAAATGACAAACAAGTGTAACAAGAATAATGAAGAAAATGTCCTCTGGGATTTATGAATATTAGGGAATTTGCACAGTACAAGTAATACAAATTAATTTACCTCTTAGCACAGCAATTAGTTACGCGGATAGACTGGAATTTCTCGAAACATACCTGGAAAAGTCAGGAAATTTCATTCTCCTGTTTGAGTGGCAACCCTGATATAATTAAGGTTAATTTTGCATTATAAGACTAATAACAGTTTATTGGTAGTGATAGTAACCTGTAATATGAAACTGCATGAAGCTAAGTTAAAAAAATAAATAAATAAAATCAAAAGACCCTCTGTTTATTTCTAATGTTCTGAGTGCAAGAATCTTCAATTTGAATTATTACTTTGCATGTTTAGTAAACATTTTATTTATTTATTTTAAATATTCTATCTTTCTTTTTCTGACTAAAATGTTTTGAAACAAGTTAATTTTCTTATCATTTCTGACTACCTTGCTATTATAACATTGATTATTTAATTATAAATATATCCTGGCTTTATATAAGATTTATTTTATGCAAGAATAGCCTCTGTGCATTGCTGTTTAGTATAAACATGTAGTGTTAGTTACTTTTTGTATGTCACATAATATTTAATTAGATTAGTATTCTTATGGTTTGGTTGATATTGTGTGAGATCTGGTGAGTTTTTCTTGAGAGGTAGGTGACTGTCTCATTCCCATTTCTATCACTTGGCTCTTCTGGTGTGATTTTTAATTATTTTTTTTAAATACAATGGAGGTGTAATTTACCTTTCATTAAAAATTGTTATAAAATTGAACAAAGAATTTGTGCAAAGAGTTTTCAGTGACCTATGAAAGCAGTTAGCGCCCTTAAATTACCTAAAGTACAATACACTCATTTGATTTGCAAATTAAATTTATTTAAATACCCATGATGTTAAATCCAAAATGTAATACAAGGAATATTTTTCAAGTCATAATTTTTTATAAATAAAAAGTAATTTTTAATAATTTTTGTGGCATATAAGAATATCAGTTATTTATCTGATGGTTTAGAAATGCCACATATTTCTCCAAGTAATGAAAATTTCTTAAACAATAGGCTCAACACTGAACTCAGATTGCTCAACCGATGAAGATATAACATTAAGTGAACTGGTCACCAAAGCACGACCAAGAGAAAAACCATCTAGAAGTAGAATCAGCAACAGAGAAAGTCCCATCGAACCTAACAACTGCAGGCCTGGTAGGCGAAGATCCGGCTCTAATGAGTCACATCACAGCGAAGAGATCAAAACTCGAACTTCGCGAGAGAACAAGAGGGAGACTAATAAAAAGGATGAGCCTTCTAAAAAAATGCCAGAGCGAACAAAAAGGGGGACATTTAAAGGTGTGGTATAGTTTGTATAAGTTTTTAAATTGTCAGAAAACTGACATTAAAAAATAATTCTGATAAATTAGAACTATACTAATCCCAAACCAATTATCCTCTGACTGTATTTATTCTCCCTTCTTGACATTTACTACTGCTTTTTGTTATTTTATTAGCATTGGTACTAGCTAAATTCAAATTGTAACCATCCATTGTATCAAATACTCATAATTATTTATACGTGCCCTTTGTGTGAATGAGTGGCATATATGTGAATGTATGATTTTGTGTAGTGTTGTTTTGAACTAATTATTGCAAAAAGGTAGGTCTTTAAATTTTTAGTTTATGATTTTGTCTTATTTTATGTTTTCTTTTTGAATGATTTAGAATAAACTTTCAATGCTTTTTTTTTTTTATTTTATTTTATTTTTTGGCATGAAAATTAAAATTTTTGTTACAAAGTATCCAGTTTCATGTAATTGTATATTATAAATTAGAATAAAAGATTTTATTAAGGTGTTAATAGTAACGCAGAAATAGTATATAGATTTTATATATAGGTATTAAATAGTGAAGCAAGTGTAGTTTTGCTTTATTGACTAGTTTGCTGTAAGTTTAATTAACTTTTAGTATGTTCTACTACAAATTCAAAAGTTTTGTGAAAGTCATATATATTTTTTTAATTTAAGAAAAAGTGCATAGCATCTCATAGTTTATCTCTCTAACATGTGATATGTTGCATGCATTAGTTGATCACTCCAATTAAAAAAAGATAGCCTATTGTAAGGAATTGAAGTGTAGGCTTTGCTTCATAAAATTTCTCAAGTTTTTAATATAGTTTATTTTTAAATTCCACATTTTTAGTTACACTTCATCATGGAATATTTACTGAATTAAAATATAAAAATTGTTTTCAATCATTCCTTGTTTGTGAAAGTGGACAAAAAGTTATAAAAGGCATCATAATGCATCTGAAAATGAACCTGCAAGAAATTATGAAACTATATTTGACATTAGTCAGTTCATGAAGGGTCTCATGTTTCTGGAGATGTATCAAACTGTCTTGTAAAGAATTAAAGAATTGGGGAGAAGGGTAAAATTTTATATTAGTCTGAGAAATTGTAGAAAATTCTGCTCGGGGGATATGTATAAATGATAGAGCAAATCAATATGAAAAGATAAATAACCTGAAAATAAGCATTATAATTGACTTTGGAGTTAATTCCAAATGAACTGAGACTAGGAATTGTGAAGTAAGCTGGAAAAAAATTATTTGAAAGTGTGAATATATTTTCTTCTTATGTATAGTTAAAAGAAGGAGGGAAAAAATCACTGACCAGTGTCAGTTGGTTAATAGTTGGGTAAGTGAATTTAATGTTCTTTAATGAGTGAGAACCTTAGAAAGAAAAAAAATTCACTTACTTGCATATGAAGAACAAAAATTGTATGAAGTGTTGAATGGCAGTATACCAATCTATATGTGTAGTAAATGATCTGGGAGTGATATTCAATGAAATGGAGATGTAAGTTATAGATATTTTTAACCTAAAAATCTGTGGAAAAGTATGTCTTACGAGTGAGAAATATATTATTGGCACTTGTCTATTTTATCTTTTATGTCTTACAAGTGAGAAATATATTATTGGCACTTGTCTATTTTATCTTTTATCACCATAAAATATACACAAATCTAGTACAAAAATATACTGTTTTTATGTTTAGTATTAGTAATATTTTGTTTGCAGAATATCATATTATATAAGATAGTACTGATGTAGGTAATTTTAATGACATTCATCTTTTAGAGGTATATAACTACAGTATGGCAGCGTGTGCAAGTTCAATTGAAACCTTTTGTATTTTGTTCACCAAAACCACTAAATATCTTAATACGTAAGAACTGATTGTATCGAGGGAAAGGGAGATGGAAATGTTTATGATATGCAAACATTTTTTAACTCCACAGTCAAATATCTCTAAACTGTTTTGTATTCTCTTAGATGGAAGAAAACAATATGTTTTGGGTGTTTTTCCCCATCATTAAAAATAAATGAAGCTACTTTATATACTGGCCAATGAGGTGGGGGAAAAGTTAAAGATTATTTGTTTTAATAAAATAATTAATTGTAGTATCAGACATTTAAATGAAGTGATCTATGAGGAATTTGAAGTTTATGTATACCACTCAACTTTTTTACAAAGTGAAATGGATTGATTTAAAAAAAAAAAGTATGAAACTTTTTGCAAACTTTTATGGGCTTATATTGCTGCTCTCAGTCTATAATTTGAATGTCAAGTAGAAAGCCATATTCCTCATAATGATTACATTGATCTCCTGCCATTCTTTTCATTAGTTGAGCTACAAGTAGCTTGATATTGAGAAGTATAATGGTTATATAAAATTTCATTTATCAGTTCTTGAAATTCAATCTGGGGGGGGAAGACATACTGTTAAAAGTTTATTCAATTAAGATGTAATGTGAAGCTTCTGGACTAGAATTACGAAGGCAGTTCAGCATACAAGTAATATAAGAAATGTGACATGATCCAAATGTTACTTTGTTGCAAGGTTTATAAACATATCTGCTATTAACTCCCTTCCTTATGCACTCTTTAATTTTCTCTTCTCTAAATCTAAGCTTCAGTGGACTGGCATTTGAAAAATATTTCTAGTACAGTATAGTATTTGTTCTTCATTAATAGTTCAATTGCATCTTTTCTTGAACTGACTTCATTGTAAAATTATGCAGGATGAGGCAGAATTAGGTAAATTGTGTTGAAATGCTGCATATTTTTTGTAAACAAACTTAAATTTAATTTTTGTTCAGTAATAAGTAATGCCTCGATTTTTTGTTTAGTCTACTTTACTTCCAAGCTGCTCAACAGGCTAAGAAAAATGTGTGCTCAAAGTGTGCATTTCCCTGTCTCATGCACTAGGCAGTACAAACTGTAACTGTGGGTATAAAACAATATGCTAATGCATTGTGCCAGTTATTTAAATCAGTGGTCTCAAGCTGAAATTGTGTGTGGGCCAAATGCATGATCTGAAAGCAGCTGCTCCCCTCCCCCAAACTGAAAACTTTTCTAGCAAAATAAAACTATTATAGGTATCAAATTATCTATCATAATAGCTATCAAAATATAGCTAAATAATTATCTATATTTTGATTTTCACTTACTGACTTTTATCAAAATATAATAACAACAGTAGTAATAAAATGCACAAGTTTATTTCCTATCTGAAATCTAAAAGTTAGTACCTGCAAGAAATTTTTGTTGGCTAGTAATTCAGATATGTTGACAGCTAAATAAGATATTTTCAAGCCAGTATTAATTTCAAATAGTTCATGTTAATTAGTGTTTAATGCAGTAATTTAACCACTAAATAACAACTAAATAACTTGCTTTTAGTTTAAACTTTAATTCAGTATAAATTACAATAATTTCCAGGTGGTACAAAAATTAAGAATAAATAATGACAACTATTCTCTTTCTTTTATTTATTAATTTTTTTTCAACACATGCAGAAAATACATATGTTTGTGTGTAAATTATTATAAACTTCTTTATTCTTTGCTACAACTTTATGCTTGATGTTGTTTCAATTCTGACAAAATCTTGAGTCTTGCAGAAAATACATATGTTTGGACATAAGTAATTATGAACTTTCTTATTTGATATTACAACTTGATGGCATTTTGATTCCTGAATATTGTGTAACTTTGGAGAAAAGGATGCAATTTTATTGCTCACAATATTGCAAAAGTACATAATTTCCCACATGAAGGGGGAAAAAAATGTCAGTCTTTATCTGTTTAGCCTTCCTCTTTGTATAAAATAAAATTGTGTTGTTTAATCTTTGAAATAATTTTATTTGCAATTTTAACAAGATAAATTGTCATTTGGAAGCAGCATTGAAAAGTTATGCACAGTTCCAAACAATAAGTATTGACGTAAGGTAGATCTAATAACAAGCTTAGGTGAACATGTTTTATAATTAATTACAGTAATTTGGCTCCATCTATATAGCAGTAAAAGCTGCAGAGCTGTGCAGTCAGCTAATGAACTAATGATTGACACAAGGAAAGCATCAGTCTCGGATCTAGTGGGGGGGGGCAAGCCGTGGGTTTTGCCTCGGGCGGCAACTCTTGTGAGCAGCAAATTCAAATATAACGCTGGATCGTATTTGGTATGTTGTTCGTTAAAACAGCTCTCTAATTTCAGTACAATGTTAATAGTTTTAAGGCCAAGTTTAAAAACCTCTTTTAAGAAGGTTTATAATTAAATACTAGAAACCCTTTTAAAGGAACATGAGTTAAAGTTAAGTACACCGATTACAACTATAATATAAGATCAGAAAGAGCATAGAGGGACTCCAGCGCACGGATAGATCAAACTGACCCATCAGTAATATATAAGTCCCTCAACCGTTCCTGTTGGCCGGGGTATTCAAATGAGAAGAGGACGATGCTTGTTGAAGGATCGCCTGGGTTTCATAGCAGTCTGTGGGAAATGGAGAAGCTTGTAACTATGTAAGATCTAATCCAAAAAATTAACCTTGGGCCATCCTGGACAAATGAAATAAATTAAATATACGTCGAGTTATACAAGACCCTCATTATGTCTTCAAGATGAAGCAAGGCATTTAGATTTCTTTGCAGCCAGTTAGCAACATAGGCTCACCTTTGGTTTGACTCAGAACAGTGGAGTGTATTTTGGATTTTAAAGCTAGGTTAATTATTTTATGGTTATTTTTTAGTTTTCAGGTCTCTTCTGTACTCTATTTTTATTTTTTTTTTTTTTTTTTTTTATATGCTTCCTTTTAATAGCCCGCACTATATTTAGCGAAACACGACCATTTATTTAGGACTGTTCAGCGTAAATAATTTCAACTAAGATGAAAAAACAACTTTAAGGAAGAAGTAAACTGTCAGACCCTGCCACAATTCCGATTATGCTGAGATTCTAGAGGGTACTAATATTTCTTTTCACAATTTGCATAACCAAACATGACCGCCTATATCATCCCCAAACAATCTACAAATCAGCATTTGAAAGAACAACCTTCTTCATCGACATCAAATGAATAGCTGGAGGAAATGAAGCCATGATATAAAGATCTCTTCATTTAGTTGGGGGCAGGCAGCAGAAAGACGAAAAACTAAAAACTTTTGATTTGTTGGACCCATGCAGTTGGCTGGTCATAGAAAAAAATAAAAGATCGCCAACAATCTTTCTTAAGCAGTCAATCAGTATTATTAGCCAGTAAACATCCAGAAAACGTAAACCTCAGTCCCATTGAACGTGATGGCAAACATTTGACATGTAATACAGAACATTAATAAATAGTGAAAAGCTTAGGAGATCTTGGTTTACATATTCTAAAAACAAGAATGCAATTTTTTGTACACTCTGCAAGATTTATCAGAAACGTGGTGCTGCCTCTACACCATACTACAGGATTCATTAATTGGAAAAAAGTTTTAGGAAAATTAACTGAGCACGAAACGTCTTGGAATCCACAGAGGTGCATCATTAAGTGGAAAATTCGAGTACAGCAAATGAAATCTTGCCAAGGCAACGATCACGACACTGAGCCACTCATTCACACAGAGAAAGAAAAATGCAGAGAAATTCTATATAGTCATGAATGCGGTACTGTATCTTTCAACAAACTGACGTTCTTTTCTTGGGTCTGATGATATCCCAAGTAGCCTGTTCACAAAATGTCTTCGAACCTAGCTAAGGAAAAAATTTTCTGAATTTAATCTCTTCGCTTGCCAAACATAATTCATCAAGTACCAGTCAAAGCACCAAACAAAGGTAAAGGAATCATATTTATCAAAGATAATTCAAAATGAAGTTATTAACTTAAAGGCAAAACAGTCTGAAGTAGCATTTTAAATGATATTAAAGAAGCCAAATACTATACAATAATGCTCGATTACACTCCATATGTGTCTCATATGGAAAAAAATGAACTAAGTGATTCAATACGTAAAACCGTGTGGTGATGCGTGTGAGATAAAGGAAAATTTAACTGATTTCATAGAAGTTTGTGGAAATATAGGAGAATGTATTTATTAATGCATTGTAGAAAATTAGTGTGTTAATTGACACTTAATGGTTTAGATATTGGACAATATCAGTGTCAGTCTTACGGCAATGGGTCTAATATGGCTGGCATTTCTAAAACAGTACAAGATAGGATTACAGAAATGAATAAGCTGGAGGAATTTGGATCACTCTTCATATCTTGTCGTTGTACATTCTACTTCTTCTTGCCCCGGAAGCAGTTAATCTGTTTGGAATTACTCAGAAAATACTTAGCTTTTTTTGTCGGATTCACTACTCGATGGAATATTATGAAAAAATATACAAAATACAACTTAAAAGGAAGCAGCCAGACAAGATGGTCGGCAAAATATGTGGCTGTGAAAGTCCTTCTAATGAATTTACCAAGATATTTCTCTTGATGCAGAATCAAACCACAAGGTAGGACATCTGGAGACATGCTGTGAAAATTTTTTAATTTACTATCAACCTGAAAATTTGAGCTAATACTTTTCCAGAATTCAATTGAGTAAATATAGAAATTCAAAAGGAATTCCTCTTCTGTGTTGTTAATGAAAGAACTGACCAATTTTACGATTGTGCGCTTGGTATTTTTCATGAAAAACACGTAGAGAGGTCTGGTTTTTCATTTCACTTTGTCACTGACACCAGCTTGGTAAGTCATTATTTATTATTTTTTGCTTTCATCGCCTCATGACTATCAATACACTGCAGCTTAAAAAATAGCTCACACAGTGATGTCTTGTTTTTATTTATTTATTATTTAACATTAGTAATTGAATACGAAAGAGCATGGTATTCTTTTATGTTGGCATTATGCTTGGACTTGATTACAGGCTTTAGCTAAATCCACTTCGAAGTTTTGAGTGTGTTGGTGAGGAGAAATTTAAAAGAAATTTCTTTCCATATGCAAAACATAGGTTTTGTAAATGATAATCATAGGCTAAAAGATTACGTATACTGTCAAAAGTCGTTAATTCGGACACCCATAATCCGGAATGCTCAAAGCTGCAAACTTTCTGCGCAAGCGTCGCGTTGAAGCATGCACGTAAGATCTTTACGGCTGCGAATACGCGTGTGTGCATTCGCATTAATACGTTTACGCATGCGCGTTTAATGTATAAGGGACGGTATAAGCTAAGCTAAAATTATCTAATTCAGTTAATGTTGCAGATTGCATTGTTCCTTAATCAATCTTCGAATTGGATCCGGTGACTTATTATTTTTTGCAGACTGTTTAGAGCAACTTTTATAAAAGCAAGCTTGAACTTTCGATTATGCCAAATAGAATTTCCGATATATATTTACTAATATGTAAAGGATCTACAAAGCGAAAGTATGTTTCGAAGTCCATTAAACAAAAAGTGGAATTGCTGCAAAAAAATGGATATAAGCATATCCTTCGTTCTCTAACCATTCCGAAATCTGTTTATCATTTTCACGCCGCTTGATATGATTTAAATCAAATTCCTCGTCATTATAATTCGCTTCCGATAATGAAGAAAGTGACACAGAGGTTATTAAAAATGAAAAAATTTCTTTTGACAAATTAGTCGGTATTCTCAACACAGCAGTTATAGGACTTGAACAGCGGAACTTTCTAACTAAACAAGAAATTATGTCTGCTTATAGAATTAAAGAGAAAGTATTATCACATAAAACGAAGCAACTTAAACAACTTATGATGAAAGAAATGTTTAATAAAGTAAACAAATAAATATTAAGCTTTTTTTTTTGTAAATTTTGATACCCTTCAGATCATAATTGTTCTTTATTTCATAAATTATGGTTTCATATTTTTAATTTTATAATTTCTGAATGCCATCTTACCAGATTTAAACTGATGGTCTATAATCCGGAAAAATCGATAATCCAGAATCGCCGAAGTCCCGAAGAGTTCGGATTAACGACTTTTGGCTGTAGTTCTGTTTGAATTGAAAATTACTGATATGCTATTCAGATAAGCTGAGGACCAGTACTAGAGCTGGTGCTGCCAAACCAGGTGGCAAAATTTACAGGAAGAAAGTTTTTTAGAATTTAGAGAAGCACTGAACAACAAAATTTAAGTGATGGCAAAATTTTTAGAATTTAGGGAGGCACTTGGTGGCAGAATTTAGGACCTGTAGAGACTGCATTGGTTACAAACTGTCTAGTACTGCCCCTGGATAAATCTTGTATGTGGAAATTTATTTATTCAAGACTTAAATAAGCCTTATGCATATGTGGTAAATAATTGTAAATATAATAAATGATTGAACTAATATAATTCAGGCTTAACATCATCAACATGCGATAGAAGCAAAACAAAATTTAGCAGAAAAACATTTCTTTAGTTGTCAATCTCATGATACATTGCCAATAGTGTGTAGGAGATGCTAACTAAGCTGTTTGTTAAGAAAGCTATGAATTTGAAGGTTTTCAGATATCAAAAATAAAAAGCAAAATTTTCCAGTTGATGGAATTAGTGGAGAAATACAAAGGAATGGTAAAAGTGAAGATGATATAACAGAAATTTTTCATTGTGATAACAATGCATCTTTCATTGTGATGGCAATGCATCAGTCAGCTAACAGACGGCAAAATCTGTGGTAGGGTTCTAAATCCAGAAGATATCGCTAGTGTTCGTGAAGGAAATGACTAAGAGGCTGTTGAGAACTGAAGAGTTTCGATTGACAATGCAGTGGTAATCTAGATGTGGCAGTTATATTGAACAATGGAAGCTTGTAAATTAACAAGCAATTATTATGTCTCTGTATAGAATGAAGGAGAAAGTATTATCACAAAAAAAAAAAAAAAAAAAAAAAGAAAGAAAGAAAGAAAAAAAAAAAAAGAAAGAAAAGAAGAAGTAAGTTAAATTTTCATTCTGTTAAGGTCATAAATGCTTAATTATTTCATAAATCACTATTTCATGTATTGAACTTTATAACTTCTAAATGTCATCCTACTAAATTTAAACTGATGATCTAATATTTGGAAGATTCCCAAATTTAGAATCATCAAAGTCCCAACGAGTCCGGATCTCAGTAACATTCAGAGAACAGTTTCTTCTCAAGTCGCAAGTCTCGTGAGTTGTGCAAAGGATGAATTACAAGACAGATTAACAAATGATTGCATATCTGAAGCAATAGAAAGCTCACAAGTTACACCAAAGAATAAATTTTGAGGGGTGAAGAGAATTTACTGTCGTTGCGTTTTGTTGATTTTCTGTAGGTGTAAATGTGAGTAAGCAAATTTTCCTGAGAAAGTCTTGCAAGCTTGGGCAGATAAATTTTGATTACTATATTATAGTTAAGAAACCATCCAAGTTCTTTTGTTATCTTGGAGTAATATGTATTAGTAAAAATTTTTGTTCTGTACATTTTGTTTTAAAAGTTTGTATCATTATGTATTTCAAATGTCTTTCTAAAATCAGTCAATAAAATTTATATTATTATTTTTTAGCCCAAGATCAAGTTGTCATGTCCAAGGTTGGTATACAAAGGAGCAGTCGGATCAGAGACTCTGAAACGAAGCCTAGTACATTAAATAATAATAAAGAAGAAAGTGTTTCTTTAGGAGCCAAAAGAAAAACACGTGGTACCACAGGTGAGTATGTACATGCAGAATGCATTTAATTTGTTATAAGATATGTGGGTGGGAAAATGTCTTGAACATTTTGTTGTGTTTTTTTTTTTTTTTTTTTTTTTTTTTTTTTTACCTTCTCTGATTAGCTGCAGCTTTTATGAAACACTTATACAGTCAAAAGTCATTAATTCGGACACCCATAATCTGGACCTCAAAGCTAAAAACTTTCTGCGCATGCGCCGCGTTGACACATGCGCATAGGCGTTTACGCATGCACGTAAGACCTTTATGACTGCGCACATGTGTGTGCGCAAGCGCAGAATACGTTTTCGCGTGCGCGTTTTATGTATAACGGACAGTATAAGCTAAAATTATCTAATTATCTATTTCAGTTAATGTTGATGATTGCGTTGTTCCTTAATCTTCGAGTTGGAACCGGCTTATTATGTTTTGCAGACTGTATAAGCAATTTTATAAAAGTAAACTTGAACTTTCGATTATGTCAAATAGAATTTCCGATTGTGAAGCTCCCAAAGGATCTACAAAACGAAAGTACGTATGTTTCGATGTCCATCAAACAAAAAGTGGAATTGCTGCAAAAAATGGATAAAGACATGAAGATGGTGACGGAGAGGTTAGTGAAAACGAAAAAATTTCGATTGACAAGTTAGTCGGTATACTCGGCACAGCAATTACGGGACTTGAACTGCGGAACTTTGTAACTGAACAAGAAATTATGTCTGTTTATAGAATTAAAGAGAAAGTATTATCACATAAAACGAAACAATTTAAACAACTTACATTGAAAGAAATGTTTAATAAAGTAAACAAATAAATATTAAGCCTTTTTTTGTAAATTTTGATACCTTTTAGATCATAATTGTTCTTTACTTCATAAATTACGGTTTCATATTTTTAATTTTATAATTTCTGCATGCCATCTTACCAGATTTAAACTGATGATCTATAATCCGGAAAAATCGATAATCCAGAATTGCCGAAGTCCCGACGAGTCCGGATTAATGACTTTTGAATGTATATTCTTTAATTTCATTTGCTGATTGTATATACTTTAACATTATGACCTTCCAAGTGTGTGATGCATTGTTATTTTATGAAGCCCGTGTTTCTGTATTGAAAGAGAATTGTATGAGAGCAGTAGTTTGCTCCTCCCCCTCTTAGCAAAAGCAAATAGGATGTATAGGAAATTAAAAGTACTAACACATTAGTACCAGTTGCCATTCTTTTATTTTGATGAAGTCACATGTACACTGCTCCCCCCCCCCCCGAAGTTACAGTTCGATATCTCCCGTTCTATTGGGCCGATTAACAAAATTCTTACGTTTTTCATGTCTCGAAAGCGTGACTAATGATACATATTATATATATATAGCATTGTTTTAATATAGGTACAGTCTTAGACAAAAAAAAAAAAAAAACGACGCACCGAGAAGATATAAAGCAAATTAGACACTAATTGATACGCATACAGTTTTCGACGGAAAATGCAAAATTTTACGTTTTGCTGCCAATAAATGAACTTTTGTCGCTACAGCGCATCTGATCTGCGCAACTGGCAGGATATTTAAGAGGAGAAACTACAATTCCGGGTCATAAATTCTTCACAAATTTCATTCCTGATGCTAAAGCAAAGTTAAAAGTTTAAAAAATTAAACATTTAGCAATAGTAGCAATAAAAGCTCCCTGGGATAATATGTTGTGCAGACATTGAAGACAATAAAAAGGTTTCAAACTTAACCAATTTATTAACAATTTAAAAGAATAAAAACACAGAAAAATAAATTTAAACAATATCAGAGTCTTAGGGAAAATATAATATAACCATCATTCATCAAATAATATTTTTACCTGGTCTCCAAAAACACTGGCATTCAATACAAACAAAATGTCCTAAACAGTAATTATGCGTATTATGAAGTTGGCTACACATTCAAAAAAATCCATGATCAATGGTCGAGAAAACACTTGAAATTTAAATGCCTTTCAAATACTTCAAAGACCTGACTTTTCTCCACAATGGGGTACACTACCACATAACAAGAATATTCGTCAATAAAGGAAACGAAATAACGTTCACTATTCCTACCTGGAATGTTAATAGATCCCCATACATCAGAAAAAACCCTTTCAAGCGGCCTCTTTACTTGAATACCTTCTAAGGGTCTATAGGAGATTCGTCTTTGCTTATTAATTTGGCAATGTTCACAAAACAAATTAGGTGAGTGCTTTAACACAGGAAGACCTCGAACTGAATGTCTCTTACTAGTCCTGACAATAGCACCATAATTTATATGACCAAACCGACCATGCCATAATTCACCATTGTTATGCTGAACTGTGGATGCCTCAAATTTTACAGATTTGTCCCCCTTTTTCACTATTTTTGGGAATACATGATAGTTACTTCCTATCAACTTAGCTTTGTACAAAGTTTCATTTTCATCATCAGTAACTTTAATTTGCCCATTTTTACCAAAAAATCTTGCTCCATTGATATCCACCCTAGGTCCAGATATTAAATTTCGTCTCAGTTCAGGCGAGTATAAAACATCCTTAAGCAAAATAACCGTATCCCCAAATTTCATTTTAACAGTACCCTTCCCATGAATTGGAAAAGTTGCCCCATCAATAGCTACTAGCATATTCTCATTCTTCACAGGAGAAAAAGTATCGATGCAATTCATGATTTTTACAAAAATGATGAGATGCAGCAGTATCAAAAATCCAACTGTCATCATTTTCCTCCAAATTGTTTAACATTAGCTTGAGCTATGAAAATGGGACTGAGCATAGGAATTATTTTTACCTGTACGTCAACTTGGGTTTAGTTCTTACACTTCAGGAGAATGTTTTATTACTACTTAGATACAGCTGAGGAAACAGAAGAAGCAGGTGAGGGTGATTTGGAAAAATTACCTTTCATTCTACAGTATTTTTGAATATGACCTGGACGGCCACATTTATAACACTTGAGCCCTTTAATCTGCTTAAATTTGTATTCACAGTGAATACTTTGGACTTCTATAGTCTTATTGGAATTTTCCCTATCTATCTCTCTTAAACCAAGACGCATTTCCTCTGCTCGTATTTCAAGTTCAACATTTTTAAAAATGAACTTTTTATCTGGCCACCTCAAAACATTCTGAACTACTTGATCAAATTTATCTGGAAGGAACCTAAGAAACTGGAAACATATATATACGTCTCTTACAGCCTGATTAATATCAGCTAACTGTTCAGTTACGCGTTTTAATCTAGAAGAAAAGAAACTAATACTTTCATTTAAATTAATTTTACAATTTAAGAACTCAAAACAGGGACATATGTCTTGATCGATAATCTGGCTGAAAGTATTTGGCAAGCGTATTCCATGTCACTACTGGGTCATCAATTTTACTTATTAAACTTCTATATTCAGGGCTTACATTCATATAAATTAACGATAATGCCAATCGACTTCTATTTTGATAGTCGGCAATAATTTCTTTTGTAATACCCTTAACATCATTTAAATCAGGACATTTTTCAATAAATACCCTTGACCAAAAGCCATGCATTTTTTTCATTTAATACAAACTTCATATCTTTGGAACATGTAAAGTAATTACATGCCTCAAGTTTAGCAATATTATGCATGACACTAAGAGTAGCCATATTTGAATTTTAACAAAAACCGCCCCCCAAATCTTTTAAGTCCTAAATTAATTTAAACTTCAAAAGTCTGCACTAAAAATAACTCAGGGGCTGGTGGCCCATAACCAAAATGATGCTAAAGCAAAGTTTAAAGTTTAAAAAATTAAGCATTTAGCAATAGTAGCAATAAAAGCTCCCTGAGATAATATGTTGTGCAGACATTGAAGACAATAAAAAGGTTTCAAACTTAACCAATGTATTAACAATATAATAAAGAATAAAAACACAGAAAAATAAATTTAAACAATATCAGAATCTTAGGAAAAATATAATATAACAATCATTCGTCAAATAATATTTTTACCTGGTCTTTAAAAACACTGGCATTCAATACAAACAAAATGTCCTAAACAGTAATTATGCAGCCTCAAAATGAAGTTGGCTACACATTCAAAAAGTCCATGATCAGTGGTCGAGAAAACACCTGAAAATTTTAAATCGAAGTTCTTGAAAGCACTTAAAATCGGCCTAACTCTGTTTTCGTTAGTGAACACGAAGGAATCGCCGCTTAACGTATTTTAAATGCCATCCTTCATTGAAGAACATGGATGCCGCCCACGGCAGTCACTCACATGGTAGAAATCTCTGGAACCAAGGAACTTTATTCTGGAACAATCATCTTGTGGACATGAACCAAGGAACTTATTCCGGAACAATCATCTTGTGGACAGGAACCAAGAAACTCATTCTGGAACAATCATCTTGTATACCGGAACCAAGGAACTTATTCCGGAACAATCATCTTGTGGACAGGAACCAAGGAACTCATTCTGGAACAATCATCTTGTATACAGGAACCAAAGAACTTATTCACCGGACTGCACACATCCTTCTGAAGAGGCTGGAAACCGCACACCCAAGTGCCAGGAAAGCAGGAACTAGAAGGGCTGAGCCAGAGCGACACGAGATACTTATAGCAAAAGAAGGCATGACGTCATCTCGCGGCAACCAATCAGCTATCGGCACGAATCGACTTTCCAGATGACGTAACATCACGTTTCGTTTTTGCATCTTAATTAGGCTGAAACAGTCCGTTCTCAACGCAAACAGTGGCAATAAGAAAAAAGAAGTAGAAGTAACTACTATATTACATTAAAATAAGAACTAAACTAAATAAACATTTCAAGGAGGAGAGATGATGCAGTAAAAGGTTTACAGTAAGTTATATTTTCCAACAATTCCGGGTACTACTCTGGTAGACAGTAACTATGCCTCGCATACAGGTGTGTGAATGATATGCACAGATGTCAGAATTTGAGAGAGGTCATATAGTTGGGATCAAAGAAGCCGGTTGGTCTTATTGGCGAATAGCTCGACATTTGAGCAGGAACAATGCCACTATTAGACGATGTTGGCAGAAATGGGTGAACCATGACTGCACACAGCGTCAAGAAAGAAGCGGTAGGCTTAGAGAAATGACAGAACGTGAAGACCGAGCAATCGTCAGAGCGGCACTCACAGCCCCAGATGCATCATTAACATCGATTGTAAGTGCAACTAGTGCTTCAGTGACCGCAAGGACCATTCATAGACGGCTCACAGAAAGGGGGCTGAGGTCTTGGCGCCCCTTGCGCCGACTGCCATTAGCCTCTGTACAATGTCAAGCCCATTTGCAGTGTTGATGGGCTCATTTACACTCGAATGTCACTAACTGGAGTAGAAAAGTCTTCAGTAATGAGTCCCGCTTTGAACTGAGCCCCGATGACCAGCAAAGATGAGTCTGGAGATGTCCCAGGCAGCGGTGAGATACCAACCTGATTGTCTTCCAGCAGACAACCAGGAGTGATGGTCTGGGGTGCCATTTCATTTCATAGTAGGACCCCTTTTTTTGTCATCCGTCGCAACCTTACAGCACAGCGGTACGTCGACGAAGTTCTAAGGCCTGTTGTATTGCCCTTCATGTCATGCCACCCTGGGATTACATTTCAGCAAGATAATGCCCCCACACACACACACACTGCACATGTTTCTACTGCTTTCCGAACATTACCTTGGCCAGCATGGTTGCGAGATCTCTCTCCTATTGAACACGTTTGAAGCATTATGGGCAGGGCCCTCCAACCAGCTCGGGATGTTGACGATCTAACACGCCAGTTGGACAGAATTTGGCATGATATCCCTCAGGAGGACATCCACAACCTCTATCAATCAATGCCAAGTTGAATAACTGCTTGCATAAGGGCCAGAGGTAGACAAATGTGTTACTGACTTTTTCACTTTGAGAAGCTGTCACTTCAATAAATCATCTAATTTTTCTGAAACTGTAATCATTTGTTTTTCTGTGCATGTACATCACTTCTACTAATTTTTGTCCCATTCGGATAACTCCTTCTTGGTGTTCTTTTTTTTTTTTTTTTTTTTTTTTGTCTAAGAGTGTATTTTGAACAAAAAAAAAATTCTGAAATTACACACCGATTTTTTTTCTTCCATATTTAAATTCTACAACTCAAATTCCGCCAAACTGCTAAATTTTGTAAAAATCGCACGTGTAGTTTTTATAAAATTAGCCTTCAAAATTTCAGCACCTCAGTGTTAATCGAGTTTGGTTATATATTTATTAACCTCTCTTTTTTATTTAACTTATTTGATTCTCCCTTTCACATTTTGAAATTCAGATTCATTCCAAATAAAATTCACCCATTTTTATGATTTATTTTTTAAATAATTTTTATAAATTTTTCAAAGACAATTTTGAATTTTAATCTGTAAAATTTTTATCATCTTAAAGTAGTCGTATTTCTAAGCATACCTGCAAAAAATTAAAATTCTTTATTCAAAATTTTTGAAGATATACATGAATTTATATATTAATGCATTTTGAAATGTGGCATATTAAGGCGATAAAACATCAAATGTGGTTTAGACACTTTGCTAAAATTATTTGAATATAAGAACAATGTGCCTTTTTTCTCTGCTCATGCACAATGTAAAAAGGTAGGAACAACCTTTTTTTCCTCTCTGGTGCAATGGAAGGGAAAGGAAAATTTGTTGCCAAGTGATTTTCTTGGTGCAAACTGAAAAAAATTGTGCCAAGATAAATTTTTGAATTTCTCCATAAATTTTGCACCAAATTTTACAAAATATCTAGGCATAATTTGAGTCGTAGAATCGAAATATGGAAAAAAAATTGGTTTATTTCAGAAAAAGTCCGATTTTGTGTCAAAATACCCATGTTAGAACAATGCTATATATAAATTTACTATATATCCTAAGTCATGCTTTTGAGACATGAAAAAAGCAATTTGAATTTTGTCAATCGGCCCAGTAGTACGGGATATATAGAACTCCCACTTTTGTTTTGCACAGTGTACAAAGAACTACTAAGGAGAAGAAAAGGAAGTGTAACGGCAAATTACAGGAAATGACTTCTTAATGCAGTTGGTTAATTAATTAACTAACTAATATACATTAAGTGAAATTATGGTAAGCAGATACAATAATTAGGAATAATTATAATTTGCACTTAAGTTAGCCTAAATTTAGAAAAGAAAAGGGAAAAAATTCTATCCTGAAATAAATTTGCATGAGAAATATGACTCATTGAAGACTGCAAGATATCATCTCTACAAAAAATCAGTAATTTATTGACTAGTTTTTCATTTATATGATAATCATTATTCATGTATCTGTGTAATGCTTACACTGATTACATCGCATACATCACATTAATTGATACCTTAGTGCTAATTTACTACATTGAAGATCAGGAAATTAATACTAATTCATTCAGTGTGAAATAAGGAGGACACCAGATCTTCAGGTCACCAGACTTTAGATCTGACAAAAGCAAAGAAAATTTGCTTTATCATAGTCAAAATAATCATTATTTTTATAAAAGTGTTTTACAGATCAGTATGCTGTTCAGTTGCAAAATGTTCTATGGTGACCGAAACTCCCAGAACTGACGGACTGCTTACCTTCCCCCCTTGCATCCCTATCCCCAATGTTTGGGAGGGGGAAGAAATTGCCATTTGCAAAAAAAATTATGATAAAAATGAATAATAATTATAAATCTATATAAAACATTATGACTGCTGTTTTGAAACTTTCTACGAAAAAGAATAGAGAAAGTATGTTTCTGGATTTATGTGACTGGAAAATGTTTGAATGGCAATAAATATCTATTTCTGAGGGTGATGAATGTTATGTTTCATTGTAACTGATTATTTCAGTTGAAGATCTAAAATTTCTTTTTCTTTAGTTGAAAATTCTTGCTTTAGAATAAATACCTTTTGTTAATTTTTGAATCACACTGATGTTAAGGAAACTGGTAATTGTGCTTTTTATTCCCCGGCAAATCAATTGTTATAATTGCACTTGCTGAAAATATTGTATAATCTTGAAAAATTGTGCTTCATAGTTTTTATTTTATGACTATGTGCACTGTAAAGCTAATTTAAAGCAGAGATGGCAACTTCCCGATTTACTCCCGAATTCAGACCGTTCTCCCGCCAACCCGATTTTCAATGGATTTCTCCTGACTTTCTTCTTATTCTTAAAATTTCTCACGATTTTTATGTATCTTTATATTTTGTTTACATTTTGATTATTAATGCTTCGTTCTGTACACCAAAAATGTTATTCTGGGTGTCACTTGGATTTCTCTAGATTGCATCTAAAAGACAACCAAACTCGTTTCGTCAGTGAGAAATTACGCTGCGCGCAATGAACTGGAAGTTATCCTTATCTTCAGGGCAGATGTTTTTATTTTATTTGGCTTATAATTCCTTACTAAATATAGTACTTCATCTCCATGTACTCCGTCTTTGATATGATTTAAAACAAGTTCCTCGTCATTATAATTCGCTTCCGATAGTGAAGAAAGTGACAGAGGTTATTGAAAACGAAAAAATTTTATTGACAAATTAGTCGGTATTCTCGACACAGCAATTATAGGACTTGAACAGCAGAACTTTCTAACTAAACAAGAAATTATATCTGTTTAATAGATAATAATAATTATAATCTGTTTAATAGAATTAAAGAGCAAAAACAAAGCAACTTAAACAACTTATGATGAAAGAAATGTTTAATAAAGTAAACAAATAAATATTAAGCTTTTTCTTTTTGTAAATTTTGATACCCTTTAGATCATAATTGTTCTTTATTTCATAAATTACAGTTTCATATTTTTAATTTTGTGATTTCTGCATGCCATCTTGCCAGATTTAAACTGATGATCTATAATCCGGAAAAATCGATAATCCGTAATCGCCGAAGTCCCGACGAGTCCGGATTAATGACTTTTGACTGTATATATGTAAATCATAACTTCTAAATTTTAATAGTTTAATAATTTTCCTTTAATAATTGCAGAAACACAAGAAATGTTGGTACAAATGAAAAGGCGACGCTACTCTAAAGATGGTCACAGATAACCCAGAGCTGTATTGTAAATAGTCAATCTGTAATCTACATTTCTCCTCTTGTACATAGCATCACTGTAAATACCAAAGTTTGACATTCACATGTATGTGCATTCATGTATAGAGAATATAAAAGAGTGGTGGATTTAACATTTGTGCAATTGTTTGATTTTTTTTACTATACTTGCATCTATTTGCATTGAGAAAATTTAAGTTATTGTTATTTTATTGTCACCTCCAAAAATTTTATAAATAATTTAGTGCAAACAGCTTTTAGCTTTGCTTCAATTTTGTATAGTTTTAAGACCTAAATAAACCATTGTATTTTTGGACCACTATAGAAAACTTGCCCTGTTGCATCTTATTACTGATTGTCTTTCAGAGGAGGACAAAAAACAATTCTTTTGTTTCAGACACATGATTGTTCTTCTTTTCACATAAGAATCTGTATATTTTTATTACATACCCACACTTTCACACACGAAAAAAAGAAAGAAGATGTTTCAAATACATGTTTATAATTTCTTAATATGGAAACTCTGATGTAATGAGTACATAATTACACTGTTATTTATCATATTTTACACATGCTTCTTTTAAATTTCTTTTTCATTCTGCGAGTTTTCTGACTATATACCTTTAAAAGAGAAAAACACTACAAATCTTGTTTAAGATGTCAATCTAGTTTCCAGCAGTTTTTGTCTTATTTAGAATTTAAAGGTACTTTATTAATACTATTGTGTTTATAAAATCATGAATTAATTACAGTGTAGCAAACAATGAAAAACAGGAAGATGATTATTTTACACTTAATTTTCTGGGGGATGAGGGATTTTGTGTGTAAAGGTGGGAAGGGAGAATAATTTTTAAAATGCTCACTGTTAAAATATTTGCAAACTGGATTTTATGTTTTGATCAATGGCTTCCTTTTTTCAAATAGTTTCAACTGCATATGTCTTATTGTTTCCTAAATTACAAGCTAATTATTTAAAAATTATGAATTATTTGGAGTTGGGGGAGGCAAGGGGGAAAGAAAGAGAAGTTACAAAATTTTGTGTAGTAAATTTAAAACATTTTCTACTTATTAAAATATTTTGTGCAATAATTTAGTGCAAACAGCTTTTAGCTTTGCTTCAATTTTGTATAGTTTTAAGACCTAAATAAACCATTGTATTTTTGGACCACTGTAGAAAACTTGCCCTGTTGCATCTTATTACTGATTGTCTTTCAGAGGAGGACAAAAAACAATTCTTTTGTTTCAGACACATGATTGTTCTTCTTTTGACATAGAATCTGTATATTTTTATTACATACTCACACTTTCACACATGAAAAAAAAGAAAGAAGATGTTTCAAATACATATTTATAATTTTTTAATATGGAAACTCTGATGTAATGAGTACATAATTACACTGTTATTTATCATACTTTACACATGCTTCTTTTAAATTTCTTTTTCATTCTGCAAGTTTTCTGACTATATACCTTTAAAAGAGAAAAACACTACAAATCTTGTCTAAGATGTCAATCTAGTTTCCAGCAGTTTTTGTCTTATTTAGAATTTAAAGGTACTTTATTAATACCATTGTGTTTATAAAATCAAGAATTAATTACAGTGTAGCAAACGATGAAAAACAGGAAGATGATTATTTTACACTTAATTTTCTGGGGGGATGAGGGATTTTGTGTGTAAAGGTGGAAAGGAAGAATAATTTTTAAAATGCTCACTGTTAAAATATTTGCAAACTTGATTTTATGTTTTGATCAATGGCTTCCTTTTTTCAAATAGTTTCAACTGCGTATGTCTTATTGTTTCCTAAATTACAAGCTAATTATTTAAAAATTATGAATTATTTGGAGTTGGGGGGCAAGGGGGAAAGAAAGAGAAGTTACGAAATTTTGTGTAGTAAATTTAAAACATTTTCTACTTATTAAAATATTTTGTACAATAAAGTCTCTATACTGGCTGTTTCTGCCTCCTTTGGTTCTTCACTTCCTTTTATAAAATAATTTGAATTTTATATAGTACATCAACTATTGAATTTATACCTTTCTACCAAATTTCTGTGTGACTGATTGTCAGCAGTAAATTTTAATCATGTTTCTCAATTTATTATTTTTATTTTATTTATTTTTTTTTTTTTTTGTTTTGCAGACATCTATCTTAATGTAAGGTTATTGAAACATTTAAGTCAGTCAGCCCTTCGTGTTTTTTTTTTTTTTTTTAAGAAAAAAAAAAAAAAAAACTCGGGCATATCATTTCTGAATTTGCCTTTCACTGCATTAATATGAAAAATAAAAGTGCATTGCTTCATTGCTTTGCTGTACTTCAGCATTGACTTTTATGCATCCAACTTTCCCATGGTCTACACCGAGAGGCTCAAAACAGACTTCCATCTACAATAAGCTTTCACAGGTCACGGAAGATTTCCGCGCATACCTCAGCACGTTTTGCAATCAAAATGTCGAATGTGCCTGCGGTGCTTAAGCTTCTTCAGCAGATGTCTCGCATTACATTCATGACTGTCCACTCATCTCTCCCATCAGAGCCTCTCTTTCTCAGCTCCAGGGATCACATAGCCTTAAAGACCTTCAGGATTACTACGGACAGTGGGGCATCAGAACTATCGTAGAGTATGTCTATTCTAAGAGAAACATAATCATAGCAGATAACCAGGTCTAGGCACCTGATGAAATGTAAAGGCAGCAAGTCTCCATTCATGTATATATGTAAATATCTCTATACTAACTAACTAAGTTTATACTAACATACCCAAAACATTGTAAGTTAACCTGTAGTGCCCATTGAGAGGTGAAGCAGGCAGAATAATAGTAAAAAAATAATAATACATATGATACATTTAAGAATTAGTATGAAATAAATATTAAGATTATTATACTTCATTTATATAAGTACTTATTTCTTAACTATATTTTGATTCAGAATTCTTAGAATAGAGAAAAATATTTTTAATATCATGCAATTATATACCTTTTTAATTATAGGAAAAGTAGTTAATAATATGATAACAAATTGAAGCCTTTTCAAAAGTTTTAAATGCCCCTAAAATGCGTGCAAATTCTTTTGAAAAATTTCAAGATTTATACCTCACCTATTATAATTTCTAAAGGAAAAGAGGTGAAAAGTACCCCAAAAAATATTAATTTTGATGAAAATAAAATAAAATATACTTCTGTTTTGTAAATTATAGTTTAATAAAACCAGAAAACTTCATCTCGCCCCGACATTCCAAGAAAGGCAAAATAGAATAGACTTTGTACCTCATATTTCTGTTGTTTTGTTAAAGTTCTGACAAGCAGTCAAATGAACTGAGTGGTTATTAAAATATGCCTGAGTTGAGGGGCAACCAATTTCAAAACTTATTCTTAAAGACATTAAACTTGTTTAGAGAATATTTATCATATTAATTAGTAGAGAAGAAAATTTTTAAAGGAAACCAATAAGCTTGTAAGTGTGTATACTGTGGAATAATTAATTATTTGATTATTACATTTTAAAATTTTAAATTGTTTTCATATAAAGAATAATAACAACAAACCCTCTTCTGCCTTTTCAAATTAAGCTTTAGCTTTAAAGTTAGTTAAAAATTAACATTTCTCATGATCAGTGTGACTGAAATGAAGTTATTTCAGGCAAAATATTGGAATGAATGAGTTTATATAGTATTTAATTTTATTATTCAAATATGCAAACGTATTTTCTATGTTTTAGTGATAGATACATTAAAAGATTTTGATTTATATAACTTAATTTGTAATGTTTTGTAAACTTAAGTGACGAAATAAACATTTTGTAAATAAGAAACATTCAGTAAAAACTGTATGTTAAATGAGGTTTAATAGAGAGAACATTTACTTTTAAATCTATGAATTTTTCATAAATGTAAATTCTGAAGTTCATAAAATACATTAGGAACATGCGACTAAAACTGAAGGAAGTAACTTTGCGTTATCCTCTACAGGTTGAGTCTAGAGCTGGATTAACCATTAAGGAAAATAGACATCTGCTTAGGACATCAGTGAAAAGGGGCACCACAGAAAGTTCATTAGAAACAAGGAAAGAGGACACCATAAAAAAATTCCATTGCCAATTAAGAGAGAAAATAGGGGGTGTAGGTAGAAGTACATGTAGGCACACGCAAAATTTTTAGTACTTAAAGCCTCTGGCAATCTGGTCCATTCAGTCAGAAGTACAGTTATACATTTGAATTAAACGTGGTATATCACTATATGTTAAAGAGAATTGGTTTGTTAAAAATATGAATTTTTTTTTTTTTTTTTTAGTAAGATTCACTAGCCAGGATGGTGCTTAAACGGGCAATAATAAACCACTGTTGTGTGTTTGAATGTGCAGTGGCTTTGTGTTGCAACTTAACACATTGTATGTGACATTGTATGTGGGTATGTTTCGCTGCAGACTTTTCCTCATGTAACTGGTGTGTTTTTTTCATGGATTTCGCTCGAGTTTGGTTATTTATTAAAATCGCAATAAACAATACCCATCGTATTTATACGATACCCATTGTCCAGCATCAATCTACCTAAATACATACTTTTACTTAGCTTGTGTTGTACTGATAGACTACAAAATACATAAAAGTATGTTCCCCACATGCAATGAGTTATCATTGCGCAGAATGATTGTGAGGTCATGAGATTGGAAAGACTTGACTTCAATGCAGCTTTATTGCCATTGACTGGAGAAAATGACTGTTTACAAGGAGAAATATCTAGATAATCTCTTGAAAGGACTCGCAATAACAATGATGTAGCTACACTGGTAAGGACTTGGAATAATTTCTAGTAGCAAGCAGTTTGGAGAAATAAAGTCCAATTGATACTGTTGGATATTTTTCTTCAGTTTGAAGATTTTTCAGTAGCACTGTTTCATTTATTCTAGCCATGAAATTTCATCACAAAATGTGATCAAACATGTAGCTATGGTTTGACTCATTCTATAACTTTGACTAAATAGGGGTTAGAGAAAATAATGAGAACACAAAGTGTAGAAAATACATTTTTTTGGGGAAGGTTAAAAAGCAAAATGACACAATCTCTCTCTTTTTTTTAATTGCTTTTTTATATTATCACTGTCTTCTTGATATATTCATTTTATTTGTAATTTTTTGT